ATTATATCAGTTAACGTAAAAAACATAAACAAATAACATAAAATAATATAAAATGTTCTGTTAAATATAATTAAATGAAAAAAAGTATTTGATTGAGGCGGATCTTAGTGCTTAAATACATATTTCTTATGTGAATTTATACATTCTGATTCTGCATACCGCCGATACTTCATGCGCGCCGAAATCTTTTTCGGTCTTAAAACGCATCTATGAGCAGAATCAGAATAATAATATCACTTATTAAATTGTACAAGCAATTTAATAATTTTTTGTGCTAATAAGCATCTTTTACAAAAATATTAATCGTCATACGTTAATGGATTCGGTTAAATATTTTTATAATCGTTCACTAAAGCGATACATTTTTTGCTACGTATCATTAATACGTATTATTATACTAAACGCGAATTATTAATCCTGTTGCGATCAAAGAATGAGAGTTCTTTCACTTTTTTGCGTCTTCTTGTCTTCATTTTAATAAATGTTACTTTAACCTTGCACTTCTCTCAAACTAGTCATAGCACAAATATCCTTAAACCAAGTAACATACTTGTTACTTGATTATCGCTTCTACTATCGTAGCATTTATGTTAAAAATATGTATCACTCAACACGTATTAATTATCACATTGACAGTATCACAAAACCAAAGGCTTGATTCAGCACTAAGAGGAAATGTTACACTTCGAGACCGTAATCTTTACGAGCTTTGCACCTTCACTTAAGCTAAAACAACTATTGTGTATGGAGTAATAAAATGTATCATTGCTGCATCATTGTTCTAAATTAAAAGAAAATGTATCTACTGAGTATTAAGATTGTATATAATCATTGTATATAATGCAACATTGGTTATTTATAAATTAGTATTTACTTGTATACTAAATTAATATTTATGACCTATTTTAACTTGAATTAATTTGTAGAAAAGTATAAATTGTATGAAAGTAATAAATTAAAAATATATTTGAATGTAGATTAGAACTTGTAAAACGTTAGAAATTTATAGTATGCACCCTATAAAAAAAAGTCATAAATATTAAACTGCTCAATGTTTTTTTTTTTAAGGTAGTATACTAAAGCTATATTAATTAACTAATTTGCACCTAAATTCTTACTAAAAATAAATAAACTTTTCAATGATGGATGAAATCATAACAGTAGCAGTACATGGCAATTGTATATGTATGTGAGAGTTTGTATAAATATATAAAAAAAATATATAAATATATTCATTGTATAAATTAATGAT